TCATTATTGGTCAAAACGGCTCTCATGTCCCTATCTTGTGATTTACTATCTACTGACATTTATTTGAAACAAATACAGGGTGGTTCAAGATTCAGAATTCTGATCACCCTGTATCTGTTCGTTTTCAAAGGCCCACTCTGTATAATATAATAATGAAAAGTTCATTTGGGATATTAAAAAATCTATACGTTTGAATTTGCCTGTGAATTCCGGTTGATTGTTGCTGTCACTAGGTATAGCTGGATTTGTCAGGAATATGAGTTTGTCACAGTTTTACCGAAAAACGTAAATGAATTTAGTAGCTTCGACAATGAAATCCTTAGAACCAAAATTATGCGAAAAAATTCATTTTGACTCACTTAGGACATGATCTGCCTAAAAACTTTAGTATTACAAAATGATTGTCAGTGAAGAGCTTCAAATGGTGATGGGTTTTAATCATTCACACAAAGCTTCCTCAAAACGAAGGTGAAATCTTCAATGCTTATTATTCAATGGTGTATGGAAGTGAGAATCTGAATCTGATAGTAAGTATATCAACCAGAATATGATGTATTGAATATCATTTATTTCCGTTTGGTTACAATTTTTTTTGTCATTCGTGAAAGCGAAATTCTGAATTGAAAGTATTTCAGTGGGCTATTTGATTTCATTATGTATCCATAGAGCTCTCATCATTCATACACCGAAGCGAATCTCCTTTTGCACGAACACTTTAAGAATAGCCTTCAAATTATAATGGTAACAAAACGCATCTCCAAAAATGCTCGCATTTCGAGTACCTACTCATTGTACATTCCACACAAGTTGAGCAATGAATATCGATGAGAGACATTAACAAACGGAGAAGTAGAAAAACCTCACACCTGTGTACCAAACTCATGGACTCACGCTGAGAGATATTCCATTCATAAACTTCGTCAAAGTCACTGAAAAATACTATTAGTCGGAACAGGTTGACAAAGGAGACAACATTTAAAAAATATTAGTCGTTGGCTTACTACTTTCATTCAACAGGTATACAATGTCGAGAAGACCCATTCACAAATCTCTATTCACGGCAGAATTTGTAAAATGAGTGTAGAGTCAAGTACTATGCGATACTATAGAAATCGGCAAAGGTAGATCCAGAGGACCCAGTAGAAGATCGTATGTCGACCATTGTCCGGAACTTTGGTACAATGATGACTAAAGTGTGAGAAAGTTTCAATAAAATAGGAATTCTACTCGATTGGAAACATTAAAAGGGATTTAATAATAGCTGTGGTATTTTTGCCTTTCTAGTAAATTGTATTCAATTCAGTAATTGGAATGTACTAGTTTATGTGCATAATATGAATGTTTCATTTCCACGATGATATGGAAATTTTTACTTGTTCAAGATAAAACGAAAATATAAATTGTGAATCCCTATATCAAACAAGTTGCACTGTTTAAGCAAGGATATTCAATGATAGTAATGGAGATATAGGAAATATTTTATTTACTCAATGCATCGAAAGTAAGCGTTTGTTCCCTCATTTAAGGACACAAACCTGTCAAATGTGAAAACTTCACAAACGATGAGATTTCCACAAAATTCTCAAACACACGACATGTTTCGCTAACACAGCAGCTTCGTCAGGTGATATACTGGTACAATGAACTGAACTAACGTTGGCTTGCTTAACTTTTATATATCTTACTTTCCCAACCTGAAGGATTAGTTACCTGTGGACAGGTACGATAAACCTCCATTTTCGGAAATTAGGCACAATATCTACATTCAAATACCGGATTAACTTGAAAGAGTTGGTAGCAAATACATATTATTACTTACTAAGAAAACAAATTCAACATTCAACTATTGAGGTCTAATAATTGATCATTAAGTAAAATGTAAAAATTTTTGAGTTTGTTGATTTCTAATGATTCAAAATGATTGAGTTTCAGTCCTTAATTTTATACGTGCAGAATTTCGAAATTATCATCAAAACTATGGTTTTCTTCTAATATATGGTTGGCGTATGTTGAATTTGTTTTCTTCTTCATAAAATTCATCTTATGTTCATGAATGCGCTGATTAAACGTACGACCTGTCTGACCGATATATACCTTAGGACAAGATCTACAGATGAGTTTGTATACCCCTGATTTTTCGAATTTAGAAGTTTCGTCTTTATTATACGTTGGGACGGTTTAGAATTACTAGGATAATAATTATGCAAAATTCGTACGTAATTCTGATTTGTTCTGTCCATGAAACATTACGCTTCACCTGATCACTAGATGTTTACGTCACATATTATAAATATGATTCATTGAGATCTTGTGTGAACTTTTGACTCAGGAGATAAGCCACAAGTGCATGAAATTTTTTTTGTATCACGTGCGTAAAATGCGTTTATGCACTAGCGGGCCGTAAAGTGCACTTTACCGCCCGGTTTTGCGGGCGTTAAGTCGCACTTTACCGCCCGCGGGCTCATTATGGCCCACGGGCCGTAAAGTGCACTTCACCGCCCGCTGTTCTCAGTCACCTTATATCCACTCAATTCATGAAAAACCTATGATCATATTCCTAGATTCTAATATATCCAGCGGTATATCATGAACTTCTTATCCGATTCCATAGTCTCGCTATTATTATATTATCACAATTTTACTTTTCAGTCAAAGAATGACAATTCAGCTCGTTTATTGCATGGATGTATTGCTATAGACAACAACCTTCAGCAGATTGATTGACAACGTCAAAATAAGTTAGGTTTATATACTGGGTATGCATATTGTAAAATTCTGAAGAATGAATCTCTTCTAGAGCTGAAAGAGTTTCACTATTACGATAATCGCAATATTCGTAGGATAGTTTTCATATGTAAATCATCCATGAACATTACGCTTCTCTTAATTACTGAATCAATACGTAACAAATTAAATTCTGGGGAATATTAGTTTATCTAAATCTATAGTCATTACTTATGAGTCAGAAAATAAACCACTAGTGCATAAAATTTTGTATGTATCTCGTGCGTGAAATGCGTTTATGGCCTTCAGCGTGTAATGGCCCTCGGCTAGCGCCATCGGGCCATTATTCACGCCACAGGCCATGAACGCCTACTTTACGCCCTTGATACATAAATAACTATTATAGCCTTCGGCGTGAAATGGGCTAACGCCATCGGGCCATAAATTCCTAATTTATAACCTAGATACAAACTATTTTTTGAGACTGACACCGAATGTAAGTGAATTCTATCACTGAATAGTTGAATATACATATCTGGTAATAAACCATTCGAAAATTTGAGAAGTGTTCTTGTCATAGCCGCCATGAAGCCTTCTATTTTTCATAAGATCTATGATATCATTACATGAAAACAAAAATCATTAGGGATAAGTAATGATTGATTCATCAAAAACTGACTTTTTTCGTAATTCACTTGCCATCCACTTAGCCCTTTCCTCTCCATTTATTTGTATTTGCTTATTCAATTAGTTGAACTGAAACTAAAATATTTCTTGAGAGATATTGATATTACGACGTGCCTATTTTAATCATATAAAGTTAAAATTAACGGCACTTTATTATTGAGTTTCTTCAATTTTTCCTGAATAGTAAACGGTGTTTCTAAATTCGACCGTCAATTTTACAGACATGGTAGCCGTCTTTAATTGATATAAAATGAGGTATTGGAAAACAAAGTCCTTGAAAGCTTATTGATACAAGGTGTTGGGCATCAAAAATAAAAGTTGAGCTTCCATCACGTTTTTTCCCACATCATCTACGCCGTAGATGATGCTTCTAGAAATCTGAATCTCGAAGAATTTCTGTTAGATTTTGTGGAAAATATCCTGACTTGCAACTGAAATAACATAAGTGGTTTTCGGGATATCTGTTCGAAGATGATGGTGCTTAGGTGAGTCTACATATTATAAAGGTATGATGAAAGGAATATTGAGAATACTGTTTGAAGCAACTCTGCATGAGGGCTATGTTCAATATTTTCTTCCTAGTTGCTTTCGTAACACAGGATATTTTGACTTTATTATGAGGTGTTTTCATATTTACCGAGGTGCTTATCAACTATTTTCCGTAGACCGAGAAACCTGTGTGAAGGGTGTTTAAAAATAATCTTGATAACATTTTGACAAGAAAAAAATTGCAATAATCCGTCATTGGAAACGATGCGAAGAATTTCAATGCAAGGACTCACTGCTGACTAATGGGTTTCATGTTGTTTCAACCCAAGAACAGAAAATACCACGAATCCGAAATGATCACAATTTCATCAGTAGCAAAGAAAAAATGATGAGGAATAATAGACATCCAGCACAACACCCGATTTAGCATTTTTTTCTCATCAACGGGTGATGTAGGTATTTGAAGATATTGCTCATTCGAATATGCAAAATCAGCTATTCAATGAAGCAAATACCGAAATATTTCCATATATCTAGATTGATAATGGAATACTCAAAGTTGCTACTTCAATCTCAATGAAATAACAAGGGCTATAGCATGTGTGACAATGTCGGACCAATTTTGAAACACCGTTTATATTATCCAAATACTAGAGATGTTGACTAAATTATTATTCCATTCTGATTTAATTTCAATTGCAAAGTATTTCCATTCATATCTCGAGATATGAGTGAGATAATAAATTCGAATGCAATAACAATTTTTGAATTGAACATGTATCGTTGTAACATGAAACCTAACAAATCCCTCTCAATATTCTTATACAAGCCAATTCGGGCATTAACCGATCTGTTTGTCTAAGCAGCCAATATTTACGCAGCCCAAAGCTTAGCAAGTATATAATTTGTTTACCTACGAGTTTACTACCCGTAAGGGCAGAGAATAGGGCCGAACGAGGCGGAGCCCTTAACAATACAAAACATCCTGACGGGGTGGATGGATTCACCACCGCATCAAAGAGGGGGCATATAAGAATCCAACCCAACGGGTCATATACCAGTGGCCCCTGAATCATCAGTGTGTTAAAGTTTGTGAGAGAATGAACATGTCGAGATCATTCCTAGTGGATTCCCTGATAGGCAACCAGCCTAAGGAACTACAGTCGCGGTATCACTTACCAGAAAGGCCTATGGCGCCATATCCGCAAAACTACATAAGCAGTTACCTATTCTCGCTCAGCTTGGCTCAACAACAACATCAGCAACAGCTACTGCACCAACAGCTCGGTTCCAACCAGTTTCATTATCAGCCCAAACAGCCATTGAGACCAGTGCCTTCTATGCCTTCAATGCCAAGGATTCTACCACCTATGGCACCCTTAGGACTGGATTTGCAGCAAAGCAAGTCTCCTGGATCTGCTTCGCCAACTTTCAATCCAGTTTCCTCTCCGACTCGTTCAGACAGCCGAGAATCGACTCCAACTCCACCGCTCAGTCATTCTAGTAGAAACGAGGATAGCTCAACTCCTAGCAAAGACTCCAGCAAGAGGATACGTACTGCCTTCACCAGCACCCAATTACTGGAGTTGGAAAGAGAGTTTGCTTCGAACATGTACTTGTCGAGACTAAGGAGGATAGAAATAGCAACGGCGCTGAGGTTATCAGAGAAGCAAGTGAAAATCTGGTTCCAGAACAGGAGAGTGAAGTTCAAGAAAGAAGATGTTCCAGTATTGGGAAATTCTTCATCTCCATCGGGAAAATGTTGCTGTTTGAGAACGTGTTCGAGTACCAGGAAGGGGAAGAGTTCAGTTTCTAGTTGCGAAGATATTGATATCGATGTGACGAATATTGATGAGCATGAACATTGATTATGAAAAATACTGAGGTGATATTGGTATGTAGTATATTTTTGATACTGAGATTATTTGTACATAGTAGATTATATTTTGTATGTTTCGATTCTGATGCCAAAGGTTTATGAATAAATTTTATATTGATATAATTTTGTGTTTCACTTTATATTAGCTCTGGAAACTCTTATAATTATTACTGAAATAGGGTCTTCATTATATCATGGCTGGATGCTGAGAAGGTGTAGGTATGTATGTACATACATTTATAGAACAATACATGCTTCAAGATATCTCAATGGAGCGACAAAGTTACTGTCTCCATGAAATCTTGCTATCTATATCATGACAATTACTGAACACGCATTTGATGAAAGATTTGTAGTTCAAACACTGATAGTTTTCAATTTTTCCTTGGCATCTCTGACCAAGGTTATCAAGTTCTAATAACTAATATTCCAAGGATCGATTGAACTCGATACAATGCCGTACTGCAGTCTTTTAATAAACATACACTCTCAAACTGTTTGTTATTAAGATATAGAATGTTTAGAGCTCAAATGATTCTTTGCTTGGAAAGTCTTGATTATTTCAGTATTCTTCTTTGGCTCTGCCTTCGATATCTTGGTAGGTACACTGAGGTGATAATTATCATTGATTCTGATCAAACTACAGGGTGTGTAATGTTTATAATGAAACCGATAGAACAGTTCTTAGGTTGCCACTGACCAGAGTTCATACATCTACTGTTCAATGAATTTTATCGTACCTGATGTTTCGTTCAGTTCCCAAGGTATTTCATGAGTTTTGATTTGATACAATTTCGAATGCTCATTTAATGCGCTTTGGGATTATTGAAGTTTTGCAGGTTTCTACTTCTACTATAGTGAATTGATCATATATCGTTGAAGTTCAGAATTTGATTCGTGACTCTCATAATATTTTGTATTGACGGGTGTTTATGTTTACCGTATAAAGATCAATTCTTTATATGATCAATTTCCATGAAAAAAAGATGTAGGAACCTGCTAGAATTAATCAATTTCAAAAAGCATCAAATCAGCATTTCAAGTTGTATCAAATTTAATTCTATATAATGATAATCAACATTCGAATCAAACAAAAGATCAAGACTCGTTTGTGTGTTGAACGGCAATGCTCCAGAATTTATTGCCTGAGGAATTAGGGCTTTCCATCTTTATCATTATTGAGGCAGTATTCCCAAAAACTCCAAGAAATCAAAAAAAATTCAATTCCTACCTCCTCTCCCTATCCCCTCTAGGTACGCACGATGTTCTTATTCGAACATTATAGGAATTTCCCTTCGTACGCTCCAAGCGATAACAAAAAACCACTTGTGTCAAATTTAGATATGTATCGGAATGTGATGGTCAGAGGAGTACTGAAATAATATTCTATCGAATTCGTTATGAACAGTAGGTATATAGGTAAGTACTTGGAATATGTACCACCCTGTATGACGATCGAAATGTTAAAATATACTATCAATGCATATACTTGTCACAACAGTGCAGAATTCAAGAGCTATCAACAGTATTCAATAAATTGATACTTTCTTTAATAAAATGTAAACTTCAAAACCCCAAATCTAAATTGCAAGTGATTTCAAAGCATAATAATGATATGTTGAATCAAGAGATGAAGTTCAATAGATTCCTTGAGGTGTAGTCATTGAAACTCAATTATCCTGTATATATCTCGAAATAGAAATCTGCCTTTCGTATAAATAGGTTGGTATGTATGTAAGTTATCAGAGTTATTCGGTGAATCAGAGAGTTCAATTATTATAATCATTACCGCCTGAAATTGTCGCCCTACTCTTTTGTTTTATGTAAAACCCCTAACGATATATCCTCAGAATAATTTTCAGATACAAGAAGGAAAGATTATTCTTTGAGTTGTCCTCACTGAAATTATTATATTATACTATTGATCATACATCAGATATGTTATTTGATGTCATGCTATTATTTGAGGTGGCGAATCTTGGGATTCTCAACTTCGAAGTATAGCGGTACATTCACGTTTTTTTTAATTTGAAAACAAATCAACAATATACTTCTCATGAACGTGTGTTGTTAATGTCCTATTATGTTTGAGATACAGGGTGTTGAATGAAAAATAGTTTCATTCAATTACCAAGCAGCCACTTGACAAATAATATCATAAATATTTCATGGAATTAGTGAGATACTGGGGAAAAATGAAATAGTGGTGATATTTGGTCAATCGGATTTCTATAGTGACGCCGGCAGGGGGATATTACTGTTTGTGTTTCCCTAAAAAGTGGAAGTGAAGTTGTATAAACTACATTTGAATGCTGAGTATTCCATATGGAAGAATTCCTATTATGTTTGCGGAACATCGTAATTCGTATACATACCCACATGTGGGTGAAAGGAAGATTATTTAGGATTTAAAATTTTCTCAACTTTTGGAGGTTATAAGTTCTTGGGAACACTAACATTGGTGAGAAATCCAAAGCTTGCTGTTCCTAAGCAAACGGGTTATGATAGAGTCTGCGTCGTAGACCACCTGATATATGTGTTGTTTGTGTATATAGTTTGTTCATATCAAATCACAAAATATAAATCCTAGGCAACGTTCGCATATCAGAAAAAAATACTCGTTTTGTTCCCCAAACATGTGAAGATTATTTTACATCATGAATTATGATAGTTCTGTGAACGCAATGTCAGCGTTTGTTTCTAGTATTTGATTCATCAATTATTAACCCAACTCATTTTGTTCATATTCAACAGTTTTCATTATTGCATGGCCCTATTTATATACTCAGTATATATGAATATTATTTCGGATTCTGTGGTTTCAAAATGAAACCTTGGTTATTGTAGTTTTCCCTCTAGTTTGAAATAAGGACGCAATGACACAATGGATCTAGATTCACGTCAATATCTTCTTTTAAGGAAGTATAGAATTTTTTGATTTTTATTAACAATAAATCAGAACCTACGGATGAACACCAGAGGCTAATTCGCCTTCGTCTGTCCTTGTCAGACACTCTTCAAGAGCTAGTATTCGACCTTCAAGGAAAATTTGATCAACTCGATGCCACGGCGGTTTTCTCAACTGATGGGTCAACTTTGGGTTTGTTTTTTGTGATTGAGATTTTTTCTCGTCACCGCTAAGAATATAAAGTGGAATTGAGCGATATTATATCCGATTTCCGATTGTAGTTAACAAAACTTGAAAAATGCAATACTTTCTCTCGTATCTTCTCTCAAAAATGACATATTGACGTGAATTAAAAACTATTCTGTTGAGAAGTCATCACACCTCAATCCAAAGCACGATGAAGCCAAGTACAACCTCTCAATTTTGCCACAGGAACTTGAGAAGTAAAGTATGAAAGAGTAACTTTGTTTTTTCCTGATGTATAATGATCAAGTCATGAATTTTTCACGAAAACTAATATTTTGGTTAATATTTCGGAACATGAATCTCCGATATCATCGAAATTTCGCAAAAATCGGACAACGATTAAAAAAGTTACAGGGTGAACAATTTGGCAAATTTTTTAGCGTCCGGTGAGTGTACTTAAATTCTCATTTTCATTCAATTCTCATTTTCAACAACGAAAATCAAAATATTATAGTATAGGGAATAATAAAGTTGATTGATTGATTGATTGATTGATATTCTCTTGAGTCAATCACAAGTATAGTGTTTGGTTAAATACTCCTGATATTCAACAATACTTTTTACTTTTCACTTTGTAACATGGAAATATATTCCAACCACAGCCGTTTTTTATCGAGACAAAAGACAAAAATTATGTGACGATAGCATTGGTAATGGGTCAGATAAATCTTCATTTATAACATTCAAAACCCTCCACTGACAAATTACATTTTGTTTTTTATCTTGTTAACATCACAAACTCGAACCCTCGAATCCCTGTCATCGCTATTAGTTAAGCCCCACCCATAAGTTATGATTAAAGGGCTCCAGCCAATGGGGTGGTGCTCAAAAGGGTTGCGACCCCTCGAAACTAGCAATTATTTTAAAACATATCCGTTATAATAACATTTGAAATGTTGTCTGGTAATTCAGCTGATATTTAATTGTGTTGCCATTGTGCTCGAAGAATCTTTATGAATAACTGAATGGATCAAAAGGGGTTTACAAAGGGCTGATGGTTCATAACCGCATGTCTTTATGATAGAGTTGGCGAGTAGTTAATAATACAATCAGATATGGGAATATGTTGACTTGAGAAAAAAGTGATGCTTCACCTAGCGGTATCATTCACCTATACTTAGTCATATTCAAATACTAGGTATTTTTATGAAACTGATGGAAGTTCAATAGGATTAATATTGGTATATGATCCAATGGAACTATAATACCAGTCCAATGAAACTACATTCACTGGCAGAAAAAACCGGCCACCAAAAAATTTTGCCAAATCGTTCGCCCTGTAACTATTTCAATTCTTGTCCGATTCTGGTGGAATTTTGACCAGATCGTAAATTCATGTTTCAGATTGTTTGCCTGAATATTAGGTCCTGAGAGAAGCTGGAAGCTTGATCATTATAGAGAAAAAAACAAAAGCTACTCTTTCACCTTCAACTTCCAAACGCCCTGTGGAAAAGGTGAGTCGATGAACTTAGGTTCATCAGGTTTTGGATCGAAGTGTGATCCCTTTTTAACACAATGATTCTTGATTCACGTCGATGACCACTATTTGAGAGAAGATACAAGTGTTTGAAGAAAGTATGGATTTTTATTATTTTTATTAAAAATAATTCAGAACCATTCTCCAACTTTCCGCTTCATCTTGTTTTGAATTGAATTGTGATCCTTTTCTGTCCCTTCTCAACACAATGGTTATAGATTCACGTCCATATCTTCTTTATGAGAGAATATACAAGAGTTTCAAGAAAGTATTAATTTTTTTCAAATTTCTATTAACCATAATTCAGAACCTATAGAGCATCTTAGGAATGAACTCTAGAGGCTCATTCGCATTCGTC